CCAGAACTCTTGGGAGTTATCTTGCCAAAGCAGCCTGCTCACAGTATGCCTCTGCTCAAAATCTTTTAATACTCTCTTGCGCTTATGGAATAATGCCCAAACTTCAAGGTTTTACGGAAAAACAAAATCCACCCCGACTCCCTTCCAGCCTTATCTCCTATCCCACCCCTGTATCTCGGCATGCTCTATGAGTCAGCTATGCTGGTTTCCTGTGCCTGGAGCAAGTCCTGCCTCCTCCCACCTTCCTGACTTTGACATTGAGTACCCTTTTCTGCTGTATCTCTCGTCCTAAGTCCACAGTGTCCTCTGATGGCAACAGTAGCCACTAGAAAGGCACATGTTACTCCGGACTAGGCCTGTTCATGATTTCATTTGTAGGTGTATCATTTCGCTGCATCTCCATAATCATCACATTTCATTAATGAGGAGATGGAGACCTAGAGAGTGACCTGAAGTGGTGATTTAAAAATACGTCTGCATATGGGGCACCTGGTTGGCTCAGTTAGTTAAGCATCCGACTTCCGCTCAGGTCATAATCTCATAGTTCTTGAGTTCGAGCCCCATGTCGGGCTCTGTGCTGACATCTCAGAGCCTGGAGCTTGCTTCAGATTCTGTGTCTCCTTCTCTCTCTGCCCCACCCCTGCTTGCGCTCTGTTTCTCTCTGTCTCTCAAAAATGAATAAAGGTTAAAAAACAAGTTTAAAATATGTCCTCATGTGGTTTGATACTTCTTCTTTCAAAAGGTGGAGCCTAATCACACTCCCTTTGAATGTGGTACTTGAGCTGGACTGAGTGACTCACTTCTAATGAATAGAATGTGGTGGAAGTGCAGGTGTTTGGCTTCCCAAGTTGGGTCACAAAAGGCACTGCAGCTTCCTTCTCGGTCTTGAGTCTCTCACCCTGAAAGAGGCCAGTTACCACGTGGTGAGGACACTCAAGCAGTGCATGGAAAGCCCATGTGGAGAAAAATGGAGGCCTTCAGCTGCCACCGTGTGGGTAAGCCAACTTGAAAGTGGCTCCTGTAGGCTCAGTCATGTCTTCAGAAGACTATAGCCCCTGCGATGTCTTGTCAGTAGCCTGTGAAAGACCTTGAACCAGAACCACCCAGCTGAGCTGTACCTCAATTCCTGATCCACAGACACTGTGGATTATAAGTGTTTATTGTTTCAGGCCACTGAGTGTTGGGGTAATTTGTTATATGGTAATAGAAGCTAAAAACACTTACCCAGGTCATATGGCTAGTAAGCTGGTAGAGTAGAGAATTGAGCACTGGTTTGTCTGTCCCCAGAACTCATGCTCTTAACCTCAGCCCAGAACTGCTGGAAGTAGTAGTTTATATTTTGCTTCCTTTAGAAAACTTTGACAAAGTCTTCCCTCAAAATTCATCTTCCTCCAATCTGTGCCCTTAAGCCCTACTCAAAACACCCATTTATTTTGCCCTCAACAATCCCCATATTTACCTAAGTCCTACCTTACTTCACTTACAACTTCCCAGCTCCTTTAAACTTTAGGACCTACATCTTAATGTTGTCACTAAGATTAAATGAGATAATAACGTATAAAAGTGCTTAGCAGAGGAATGGTGAAATTATACTATTTACTACCTAAAGTATACTTTTTATTAATAGTATAACATAATTATTTATGTAAACAAAGCATTTCTTCTGCTCTATGGGTGAGGGCTAAACTCTGGCTGTATATTAGAATCACCCAGGAAGTTATTACAAACAAACAAACATACAAACAAACAAACAAACCAATACACAGGCCATTCCCTGAATTAAGAGGTCTGATTTGATAGGTCTTGGGGGAAGCCAGGCAACAACCCCCCTCTGCCCCCCCAGATGACATTAAGGTGCAGACAGGGTAGAAAAACACTGGACTGGGTCAGAGGTTCTCAACCCAAGGTTATATTGTCTCTCCACTCTGCTTGATCCCTCATGCCCCTGATATTTGCTAGTGTCTGGAGAAATTCTTGATGGTGATGGCTTTAGGGAGGTGCTATTGGCATCTAGTGGGTGGAGGCCATAGAAGCTGCTGAACATTCCACAATGCACAGGCCAGCCTAACATCAGATAATAATTATCTGGTGCTAAATGTCGATACTGCTAAGTTTCATAAAACCTAGATTAGACGTTGTTTCCAGCTCCTGCTCTTGTTCTCTTTAAGAACATTGGTTCTTACTTATCTCTCTGACTCTTCTGGTATCTTTGAGAAGGATATACGACCTGAGTCCTTTCCTCTCACGACCAAATCTGGACACCAACCAGCTTGGCCAGTGCCCTGGGTTGGCTCCAGGCCTGTCAGGAGGGTCTGTGAACAGTCTTGTGCTTCCCCACTTCCCTTTAGTGCTTTAGCATCTGTATTATAACACCCACTACAGAAACTATAGTTAATTGTAAATATGTCTCTCTTACTACCAAAGCCAAGCCATATTTTATTCATCTCTATTTATTCCATAATACCAGGCTCCGTGCATTGTACTTGGTAGGTGTTCAATAAAATACTTATTGCATCAAAGTAGATTAATATAATTTAAAGTTTTATCATGCTTCTTGGCATCTCTTTGAAAGGTTTTAGAAATAGAAAATACAAATGCCAGTTAGGGAGAAAGCTCTTGCATTTCTGTTCTTGTGGTGTTAAAGTCAAATGGTCACTTTTGCTACTTCTCAGGGTATTTATATGAGTTGCCAGAGGAAGTTAGCATCCATTTTAAATTAAGATACATTTAAAAAATTTTTAATCTTCATTTTTGAGAGAGAGAGAGAGAGAGAGATAGACAGAATGTGAGTGAAGGAGGAGCAGAGAGAGGAGACACAGACTCTGAAGCAGGCTCCAGGCTCTGAGCTATCAGCACAGAGCCTGATATGGGGCTCAAACCCACAAACCATGAGATGATGACCTGAGCCAAAGTCAGACACTTAACTGACTGAGCCATCCAGGCGCCCCATAAGATATTTTTATAATAAATGACAAGGGATTTGAGAGGATGCTTAGAGAAGTTCTCATATCTTTCACATTCTTTTTCATTGGCTATTAGAAGTAGGAAAATGTTTCATTTTCAAGGCAAAGCAATAACTTGGAGAATGATATTGAAAGAACCTTGTCTTAGAAAAATATACGCAAATCTTCTATTTATTAATCATTTATACTCAATACATTATGGGCCTTCCATTTTCGTAGTGGGCAAAATTAGGCACAGGTTGGAAGCTAAAAAAAACCAGGGTTTTCCAATTATCATTCATTCTCCTTTCACTGTGTAGCTAGTCTCAGATTTTTATTTTATTTTTTTAATGTTTATTATTTTTGAAGGAGAGAGAGAGCACAAGCAGGGGAGGGGCAGAGAGACAGGGAGACAGAATCTGAAGCGGACTCTAGGCTCTGGATCTGTCAGCACAGAGCTCGACACAGGGCTGGAACCCACAAGCCATGAGATCATGACCTGAGATGAAGTCAGATGCTTGGCCAACTGAGCCACCCAGGCACACCTGATTTTCGAAAAGCTGATAATGGGGTGCCTGGCTGGCTCAGTTGGTGCAGCATATGACTCTTCGTTTCAGGGTTGTGAGTTCAAGTCCTATGTTGGGTGCAGAGATTACTTTTAAAAAAATCTTAAAAAACAAACAAACCTGGAGTATATTTAATTCTCCAAGTTAAGAAAGTCAGTCAAGAATCTTTTCAACTATTCTCAAGAAGGGCATATCTAAGGAAAAAAGTGATATTCAAGGGCTAAAGGTCTAATTTAAGGTCTTTCATTCCATTTAATAGGGGATTTCACAAGCTTTGCTTAATTTTCTAATGCCTTGGTTTCCTTACATTGTTCTCACAAAGGGTTGGCATGAAAACATTTCAAAGCAAGAAGTTAAATACACATAATTTTCTCTAAACTGAACTTTCTTCCACCTATGACCTAAAATAGTGGACAACTGCTTAAATGTCATCTTTCAAGTGAGATCCTTCCTGACCACCCTATGCAAAATTAAGCCCCTTTAATATTCTGTATTCCCCCATCTCTGCTTTCTTTTTCCCTATAGCACTTCCTTGCTCATTGTCTGTCATCCCCCACTAAGATATAAATTCCATAAAGGCAAGGAAGGCGTTTTACCTCCAGCACCTAGAATGATGTTTGGCACATCGCAGTACTCAGCAAGTACTTATTGTATGAATGGGTGAATTATGCCAATCTAGAGACGCTATTATATGGAAATCTAGAAATATACTATAACACCATCAAAGGCAGGAATTAGATGTGATTGAATCAGCAAGGCTAGATCTCAAAAGCATGTATTTGAAATCAAACAAAAGTTGCAAAATAACGCATACAATTCCTCATCTGGAAAATAAGGCTAGTAATGGCATTGTTATCAGGATCAAGTTAGTTCATTAGTGTTAAATGCTACAATGAACAATGATACAAGCACTCAATAAATGTTACTTGCCATCATCATCATTACATTGATGAGAAATCACTCACAGCAATCAGTACAATTAATTTTATATGATATAATCTAATTTTATACAGTTAACCAATTTTAAGAGCTCTGGAAGGACTATAAACTGATTACTTTTGTGAAGAAAGAAGAACTCAGATTGGAATGATGATCAAAGAGAATTTAAAGTTTATGTTATGTTCTAATGTTTTAAATGTAAAATTGATCTATATAAGTAAAATTAATATTTAGAAAAGTTTAGTCCTATTTCTTGAGACATAATAACCTTGAGAGGGGACAGGGAGAAAGAGTGAGGAGAGAATAGAGAGATGAATTACTTAGGATAAGAATTTTTAAATTTTCTACTGTATTTCTGAAGTGCTTCTAGAATAATCACTACATGGATAGGATGTTCTTAGCCTGGACTGAAAATAGCTAGAGACAAGAGTCGCAAATATAACTGACCTGGAGTCCTGGATGGATTACATGAGTTAGCTGGACTGGAGAAAACTATCATTAACACAATCTTAAAATAGGAATAAATTATTTTAGGTCCTGTGTTGGTACTTACTGATGCTTCAGCCACTGCTCCACAAATGGAATGGAGAAGAATTCTGTGAAAGACTCCCCTGTCCTCTTTGGATTTTGACTGGTAACGATGCCATATGTTTGATTGACAAGAAAACAATAAGCAAAAATTCAAGTCAGTTGTTGCTATTCTGCTTGCAAATGAACACTACTGAATCCTTAGGGTCACTGAATATTCAAACACACGCAAAACTTACTTGTATAGCCACTCGGTCAGAAAATCACAGGCAATGAACTTGGTTCTTTTTCTCTAAAGGGAAAAGAGAGAAGAGAGAATTAAATTATACTCTTTGTCCACATGTCTGAGTAGGACAAAAGAAGAGAGGTTAATTGATTTTTTGTGTTAGATGAAATATGCATGAGTCCTTTATAAAGTTTATAAGTACATCAACAAACAATAACTTGGGGTGATGTAAAGAATTCTGAAGACATTTCTCCAGTCATCTTTATTTTGTTTTTTGTTTTTAATTTTTTAAATGTTTGTTTATTTTTGAGAGAGAGACAGAGTGCAAGGAGAGGAGAGGCAGAGATTGAGGGAAACACAGAATCTGAAGCAGGCTCCAGGCTCTAAACTGTCGGCACAGAGGCTGACATGGCACTCGAATCCACGAACTGTGAGATCATGCCCAAGCCGAAGTCAGACAGTTTACTGACTAAGACACCCAGCTGCCCCTCCTCCAGTCATCTTTGGACAAGCACATTTTCTGATGGCAGGGACTAATGAAAGATAGTGCACATAGTAGGAGGCTTACTACATGCTTTTGGAATTGTCACAGAAGGGTTTTATTTAAATCTGGACCTTGATTCTGAGTAACTGTACTTACTGTTTTCCCTCAGTCCACTTGAACCTTCACAATACCACTACTTCAGTCTGGGTACCATCTTGCAATGTGGAAGCCAAGCATGCAGGTGCCGTTGGCCAGTTTGGCTGACCCTGCCACTTGTCCACCCAAGCCACTCTCTATTCCATCCTTATTAACAGAAACCTGATTGACAATCAGCCCACAGTTGAAAACAACAACAACAACAACAACAGTATTTTCCATTCTCCCATGTAGCAAGGGAGGGACAGTCATGACATGGTTCTGCCCTGTGAGATAGAAATGAACATGTCCTATGGCTTCCTGAAAAAGTTCTGCTTTCTTAATTTCTGCTGCCCTTCTTCCGTGAAGTTTCCTTCTACTTCTTTTGGTCTGGAACACAGACGTGTGGCTGGAAGTGGAGCAGCACTTTTCAACCATGAGGTCAAAAGCCACAGGCTGAGGATGGTGGATCAGGAGGTTAGAAGAAGCCTGGGCCATTGATGACTTCCTTAACTCTCTGCACCAGCTGAGGCCTGAACTACTCTGAACATCTTGACATGTAAGGGGAACTAAATGCTTTGGTTTATTACCATTGTTCTCGACTTTTCATTACATGCCAGTGAATGCAGTCCCTAAGAGACAGATAGATAGCCAGTAAACCACAAGGGAAAGAACATCCTAGGTGCTGAGGGAGAAGGCTTGATAAGAAGGCAACTGGGTTGAACACCAGATATCTGTCTTTTGGACCTACTGAAAGTCTCTTGTAAATGAAACAGAACCAGTCAACTACTTTAAGACAACCACTATGGAAACTGGGAGGTAGAGGGTTGCTGCCACTCTTTTTAAGATAACAGGAGCTGAGAACCAAGTAAGTCTAGAGTTGTTGGTTGCCATGTGAAAAGATCCTTCCCAAGAATGAAGGCAACACAGAGTCTGCTGGAAATTCCCTCTTTTCCCCTCAGGTGTACACCTCTCTCATCCCGTTCTGTGCCTTAGGAGGCTGATTTTATGGTTCACTTCAACCAGGATCCCAGCCAGTGGGAGGTACCAGCAGGAGATCCGAGACAGGGAGGAAAGAAAGACAGGGTGTAGTGGATTGAACTGTGTGTCCCCCTCGACTCAAATTCATATGTTGAAGTCCTAAGTCCCAGTACTTCAGAATGTGACTGTATTTGGAAATAGGATCATTACAAATATAATTAGCTGAGTCCAGCCACTCCTGAAGGACACAGGAGTAAAAAGAATGAATAAATTTGGGGTAATATTAGCAAGGAAGAAGGGAGATGCTATTGGCTAGACCATCAATGGCAGTTCTAACAACACCGTACTAGGCCCTGGATTCTGCTATACCCAAAGCCCAAATCCCCTGGCCCTTTCAGGTACATAAGCCAATATGTTCTTTTCTTTCTTTCTTTTTTTTAATGCTTATTTATTTTTTCAGAGAGGGAGAGAGAGAGAGAGAGAGAGAGAGAGAGAGAGAGATGGAGATAGAGCACAAGCGGGGTAGGGGCAGGAGAGAGGGAGACACAGAATCCAAAGCAGGCTCCAGGCACTGAACTGTCAACATAGAGCCTGACACAGCCTTGAACTCACAGACCATGAGATTATAACCTGAGCTGAAGTCAGATGTTTAACCGACTGAGCCACCCAGGCACCCCTATTCTTTGTTTGGTTAAGCCAGTTTGCATTGGGTTGTTTATTGCTTACAACAGGAAGAGTTTTAACTCTTATTCCTTTCTTCTCCAATCAGCTAACCCCCACTTGTCCTTTTAGATGCCTCCAGGAAGACTTTCTGACCATTCTCACCCTCTTCAGGTTATAGTAGGCTTCCCAGACCTGAATCCACAGTTCCACATTTGCTACTCTGTCATAGCACCTCAGACACAACCATAATATAACCACTGGCCCACATGCCTATCTCCCCCACTGAACTATAAACTTCCTGAGGACAGGGCACAGTCTCTTTTCTTTATATTCTTAGTGCTTAATTGAGTGCCTTGCATGGTATAGGTAATCAACAGGTGATGAATAAAGGAATGAATGAATTCACCATTCAACTCTCAAACATCAAAGCAAGAAAGAGCTTATTTACAAAAACTCTGACATCTTTTTTAAAAGTTTATTTATTTATTTTGAGAGTGCATGCAAATGGGGGAGGGGCAGAGAGAAAGGGAGAAAAAGAGAATCCGAAGCAGGCCTCTCACTGTTAGTGCAGAGTCCGATGTGGGGCTGGACCTCACAAATGGTGAGATCATGACCTGAGCTGAAGTCAGACACTTAACCTACTGAGCTCCAAGAATCCTGACTTTTAAAACTAGGGATTGCTAATATAATTCTGGATAGTTTCTCTTCATTTTCTTCTCATAATATTTTATCAGGAAAATTTTCCTTTTTTTTTTCTTTTCTTCCCCCCTTCACTTAAAAATAGCCAACTCAGCTTTATAATCTTAGATAAGGCTGAAAAAAAAAAAAAAGACTTGCAAAATTGATTCTTACCAAAAAGGAAAGTGCTGCTTAAGATTTTTTACTGAAAGCTTTATTATAGCTGTTAGTCCATAAAATAGAGCAGTGTCCGAGTTGCTGGAGATTGTTTGCAGTCTTTTACCTCCTTGCTGATAGCCTTTTATTAAAAAATTGAAACACTACTGGCCAGGGTAATAAAATTAAATGTACTGGAGCATATAACGGGGCTTTCTAAGTCTGCCTTGCAAGAGCAGGGTTGCCTTCAAAAAGCCATCTTTAACCCAACTAAGAAAATACTTGTACAACAATGCAAATATGTATCTAGCATGAATTGCCATAAAATAATTTAAACAATTCAGTGATTGTAAGATGGCAGTGTCTCTCTTTTCCTCGTCCTACAAAAGATGCATTGTTCCCTTGGCATTTACCACAGTGTTTGGTGGTAAAGATTCCTTCTACCAAGGGAATGCAGCTTGACTTACTCTATTAAATAGACTTTTAAAATAGCCCAATGGTCTGATGTATAAAGGTCATGCAGACAGATTTAATCACTTTTGATGCAAAGAAATAAAATGGAAGAAATTGTGTTTTCCTTCTGTTCTGGGCAAGTGTGGACGTGCCGTGCATACTCAGACACATGGAACAGTGGGGATATTGTTCAGCTGTTGTTTAGTTTAAAAATTATCTGCCGGGGAGCTGAAAGAGAGAAGGGAGGGCAAATGAAAAGTTGTGGTGAGTGAAGAGATAAGAGAGGAAGTAATAGAGAGAAAAATTAAAGAGTGAAATTAAGAAAGTGTGGGCACCCAGGGTTTACGTAATGCGGACAAACACACTGCATTCGTGACTGTTAAAAGGTGAGTGTGTGTAAGTTTCAGCAAGCAGAGGAAATAGCTAAGACCACCTCAAGGTTAAAAAGCAATTTTTTAAAATCCAGAATTAAAAGGAAAAAGACTAAATGCCAAAGGATAAGACATCATCATGTCATCATGAGTCTGAAGCTTACTTTAAAACACATCCAAAAACAAGGTAGATGGATAGACTGATGGGCTGATGGATTGGTGGACAGATATGTAACCAAGCAAATAAAGCAAAATGGTAAATGTAGAATCTAAGTGGTAAATAGATGGATGTTCCCTCTGAAAATTCTTCCCTCGTTCTATACACCGGAAAATTTTTGTAATAAAATTTGGGAGTGGAGAACATCATTATAAAAGATTGAAACCCCATAGAGAGAAAAGGCAGATGTTAGAGTTTTACCCAGACAGTTCTTTGTCCTAATGTTCAGGTTGGGTACCTATATAAGAGGCAGACCAGAGGTGCAGAATTGGAAAGAGACACTAGCATTGGAACGTCACTAAATCTGCATCAGGCAATGAATGTAATTCCATCCCAGAAAGGTCAAAAGCACACGCTGTGAGGTTAGTGCACTGACGTGTGGCTTGCTATGGCATTGTGTTTGTTGAGACTCTTCGGGTTTGCAAGGTTTAGAAATCTGTTCGGGTTACCTTGGTTACTGGGAATTTTTTACAAATCAGTTTAGGATAGATTTTGCTGCAGCAAACAACACCTGAATCCGAGAAACTTATATCATCAATGGTTTATTTCTCGCTCATGTTATGTGAACATTTCAATCAGCTATAGCTCCCTGCTCCTGGTGTCTTTACTCTGGGATTCAGGCTGACGAGCTTCTGCTAAAATATCACTAGTTATCACAGTAAGTGAAAAGGATATGGTGAACCCTGCTTTGTCTCTTATGGAAAATGCCATATGTCACGTTCACATTTTGCTTTGACCAAAGCAGTCACATGGTAAAGCCTCCCTTAGGGACAGGCCACAAATATATTAGAAAAAAAAATTTTTTTAACGTTTTATTTATTTTTGAGAGAGAGATAGAGACAGCACGAGCAGGGGAGGGTCAGAGAGAGAGGGAGACACAGAATCTGAAGCAGGCTTCAGGCTCTGAGCTAGCTGTCAGCACAGAGCT